TGCGAGTATTTTTGTGATACAAAATATAATACAAGTATCCAGTTTATATTAATATAAGACAAATTCATTTAATTGTTAATTACTTAGGTATTCAATTTTATTATTATACATGTATATGGTGAGAAATAAATACAATGTATAGGTATCTGTTTTGCAAATTATAAACGATTTTACAGAACATTTGCTGCAAATCTGGTATAATGGTTACCCAATTAATATACAATAATGTTCAAGTACATTGTAGTAATGTACAGAAATTGATACAACATAGTAATATATTATCTAAAACCGTGAACCGTGGTAAAAAGTAACTAATTAATAATTTCTAATTTTTAAATTTTTTAAATTTATCTCATGCCCAAGATTTAAAATATGCCTTAAATATCTCGTAAGGCAATAAGCAATGTCGTGAATAGTGATAACTATGTAAACGATTTCAACTTTTTCCACCAGGAGCGCTAAGTGTAGTTCTACATACATTTTAATGACCAATCGGGAAGGGCCATTTTTTTCCGACTAGTTGTGTAACCAGTATATCTTTTATCCTGACATGAACGTAAAATTTACTTCTAGTTTTTTTTCTAATTTTTAACACTTTTCCTTTACGATAATCTGAAAACTTGAGCTCGCTGAGGATCGGGCCATTGGAGCAAAATTATAATTACTTTTTAAAAATTCTTCTAATTCCTAGCATTTCTTCAATTCGTACAAAATAACAGATACAAATACTTTTTAATTTATAAACATTTTTGGTTACCTGAACTCATAATAAAAAAAAGTGGACAAGTGGGTACCGTACCGCAAATGGGCACATCATATGGGTCGCTGTAAAGAATGTGTTAAACTGTTAAATGTGAATTCAACGATATAATATCATTGTATAGGTACGAAAAACGTTTCTGAGCGAAGATAGTTAGTCAGCATAATATGATATATTAATAAGTATACTATTTGGTATTATTGTGAATAATGTAATTTATTTATTTACCTATTTGTATGGAATAGTGTCTTAAATTGTCAATCGTAAAAAATTACAGTTAACAATTACAGTAACGATTTGAACATTTTATACATTTTTAACTACAAAATCGTTTTTACATTTAATAAATGTTCTCAAAAATCCAACTTTAAATGCGTACAAAAAAATATTGCAACTTAGTATTTTTAATACCTATTTATCAACTGCTAATGTAACAATATACCAGGAACCTTGTATTAAATTTCCCCGGTTTTGGCCCAACAAATAAAATTGTATTGATATTCATAGAAAAAAACTAAAATAAATTGAAATTGTCCGTAAACAGCAAAAAACAAGTCAAAATACTTTGAAAATGTTATCAATTATAGGAATTGCTAAAATAAACATTCAGTGAAATTGTCATGTATGATGTATCTACAGTTATTCGTTTTTGAGTTACAACAAAATAAGAAAATCGTTACATGATAATATATTATATTATAATATCGATTGAATATCCAATGTTGTAATAACATAAGATTCAATCGCTCATAAAAATTTAATTTGACTTGCTTGTAGACATTTTTTTTTTTTGATAAAGGTAGAAAAACTTATGAGAAATCATGTATTACTTTTCCAAATCTTAGATTTAAAAAGAAAATTTTTTATGAATTTATAACTCAAAATTATTTTCGTGAATTTTACATATTTTGTAAAAATAAAAGCTGACTATGGTTTTTAATATTTTTTATCTATCTTTGAAACTATAAATTATTAGCCTTCTATTAAACTTTCAAGCTTTTTTACCAAACAAATAACATGTATTTGATATTTATAGAATAAAAAATTGGAAACTGAAAATATCCGTAAATAGCTCAAAATAAATCAAAATATTTTAAAATGTTATGATGTATAAAAAATGCTAGTATAAACATTAAGATTAAGTCAACATTTCATTAAGGTAATTTGTTTTAGAATTACACCAATAAAATTCCCTTTTTTCAATAATTTTTCTTTTGTTTTTCACGGAACTTTTGAAAATTACTGGGAATTTTGACCTCCCCATGCACTAACAATATTCACTCTTCCGTAGTCCCATCGAACTAGATGCCGAAGTTGAAAATTGAAGCATTATTTCGACTACTTATCGTGTATACAGATACAAAAAATAATTTAAAAAAAAACACACATCAATAACATCATTGTAAAACCAATACATTCATCGCTCCGAGCAGAATCGAAAACCGATTTTGAGTAGAAAATCCTGTTTTTCCTTAATTTGTTTTTTTTGTTTCTTTCCAGCTCGTTTGAAAGCTACCAAGAATTTCGACCTGCCCAATTCCCCAACTAGATTAACTTTCCCATCGAACAAGATACTGAAGTCTAAAATCGAAGTATTTTACTGCCCCAAAAAGTGATAACAGACAAATGACAGAACATTTTTAAAAATTTAAGAAAAACACACATCATTGTAAAAGCAATACATTCATCGCTACGTTCAGAATCTAAATATAATAAGTATAAAATATATGAACAAATGTAAAATACATACATTTTGGTGTTAAGCACTATATAGATGACGCTTGGACAACTCAGTGCTTATGATAAAATACCTAGATAATACTATGACTATAGTCTAAGGATATAATATGTTGTCTGCCATGCGCCCATGCATGATTATATTCAACGGACCAATTTGAATTTTGTGCAATATAATACTACACATTTATTTATATTATATTATGCACAATGTATCATCGACATCGTCGTGCTTATTGTTCTTCCCCTTGATCATGTGTAAACTCCATTACCGCATGGAAATTCCGCCATAAAATCGCTCCGCTCCGTTTAGAATCTAAAATTATAAGCTTAAAATGTTCAATTTTTATAACTAAGGATGGAAAATTTAAAACAAGGTTCTCCTTAAATAGGTAGTTTATATTCTTATATTATATAAATTACTTTATTTACAATAATATCATCAAAATATATACTTGGTAATATACTAATATCATAATTCATAGGCTGACTGACCGTTTTCACTCAGAATCGTTTTTCGTTTACAACGATATAGGTATATATTATATCATTGAATTCAAATTTAACACAATCCATTACAGTGACCCACTTGAAACCTACTGTACATCGGAGTGACACCCACTTGCCCCCACCTTTTCCCTTTAATTATACTGCATACATTTATTTAAATTCTGATTTTATGAATTATTAAGTATGCCTAAAGACCGTCTTTTCAAATTCCTGACATTTTCATGACATGAGTGTCCTGTACTACTGTGGTGATATAAACTTCTATTTTTCAAGTATTTACCTAAATCAAAATTCTTATGAATAGTTTTTTACTTTCCGAGTTGTTCTAATGTTTATACTATACAAAAAATCTCAAGTATTTGGAAATAATATGGTCTTCGAGTGTAAAAATCAGAATTTTAATATATCCCTAATTTAAGCATACAAATAGAACGAGTATGCTTGAAAAATCACCACATATATTATTGTGTATTTACTAAACAGTTTTAAGTTTTAATTAACTAAATTAGGTAGGTAATATTTTTTTTTTTTTTTTTTTTTTTGGCATAAACAATCTATACTATTTGAAGCACAATAAGTTTATATGATAAGAGTAATTATAGAACATGATTATTTTGAATAAGCAGCCACCCATTAGTGGTTCTTGGCTAATGAAATTTTTTTTTTTATTTTAATTGTTTATATTATTATTATTCAGAGTTAGACATTAAAGTTTTGTAAAAGGTCACGGCACCACTTTCTTTTTAACCTACGGTTTGGGTTTCCTGGGAGTGTAAGGATAGAAATTTCTTTTATAAGAGGATTTGTATGATTTTGAAGTCGTTTATGGAAACGTGTATAAAAAATGCGTGCTTCCGCTTCTATTGTTCTCATACAGAGATCGTTATGAAGGGCTAGATTAGATATATAGGGGGGAGCATTGGACAATCGTCGGAGCGAAATATTTTGGAATGTTTGGATTCTGTTAATATTTGATTTTTTTGCCGCACCCCATAATTGTAGTCCATACGTCCACATTGGCTTGAGAAGAGATTTGTAGATTAGTAGTTTGATGTTAAGGGGGGAACACTTATTTCTAATTAACAGGGGTCTGAGAATACGCATGCGATTATTTAAGGATAGCCTTTTGGATTGAAGGTGGTTTTTCCACGTCAGTCTTTTGTCAAGGATTAGCCCTAAGTATCTGACCGTGTCGGATGTGGGAATTGGTATGTTGTTAAGGGTAATGTTTGGGCATATTCCTTGTTTAAGCGTGAATAGGTAGGTAATATAAAAACTTAATAGTTTCTTATAATTTAATATTGCAGCTCAACAATTACACGAGTATACTAATCAACTTACATAAAATAATAAACTATCACTAGGTATTAAATATTAATAAATTCAACATTAACACAAACATAAAAATGATAAAAATAAAATTTTATTAGAAATAAATACTCTCGTCTTATCAAATATTGGCAATATTTATATTTAAATATTTTTACCATGTATATAGTTTTAACTAAATACTGAACACATTTAAAACGTATTATTTCTCATAAATTTTAATAACTAGGTATAAAATATAGAAAACATTGTTAATACATATTTTGCTTTTTATTTAATTATTACAAGGGTAGATTTAATGAAAACTATAAACAAATTTAATTATTATTCAAGTACCTATAACATAATTTGAGCAATAAATTCAACAAATATTTTGACATGAATGTCAAATATGAATTAATGATAATTATTATTATTAACTATATTGATACAAATTTAATTATATAATATAGAATATAAAATACATTTTAAAAGCCATACCCATACTATACTAAAGATAGAAATATGGAGAAAAATTAAATACTAGTCAACATTAAACAAACAGAAAAATCAAATACATTTTTATACTTAAAAAAAAAATTACTATCCCTATTCAAAAACAATAAAACAAAATATAACAAGACCAACATACTTTTTTCTTAACATTTAATGTTAATTTAGAATATTAGGTACTTTGGTATAATCCTCTATTGCGGAATTCTTCATTTAATAAATCTAAATTCCTAAAATATAAAAAGATCAAATTAAAATCAAATGTAGTTAAATTTCAGACATGTATTCTACAAATTTTACAATAAATTATAATATAATGAGTAATGATTCAGGTTTTAACTCTTAAACTACTGAATTATTAGTATTCATTAGTTCATTACCATACATTAAATGACATATTATAATTAAGGTTAGTAATTATATTTTTTGCATTCAGGCGGGAATCTTTACAAATCATGAAACATGTAAATTAATGGCAAAAGTTTTTTTTTACATACCTATTTGAGAATATATAGATTAATTGTATAGAGTATAGATTTTTGATATTTTGTGTTGCAGTGGCGTAAACAATATTGATTATATGGCCGATAATAGTGATTATATAAATATATAATATACGTATTAATGTATTATATACCAACGTTGAACGTATATACAATAATTATACCCCATATAGTAATTTTAATATTTTATAGTATATTGATAACGATGAAAAATTGTTTCAATTAAAAATATGTCATTAATCTAATTTAACTAAATAAATAAGATATTACCTATAATATTAGCATCTTATTTTGGCTATTTTAAGAGAATATCATTCTGGCCTGTAGCTTAGTATAAACTAACAAAACTATTAAAGATCCTTGTACAATGAATTGTTTGGCCACCTCAGATGTATATTATGAAATTATATAGAATGTTTATTGTTTACCTTTCATTAACAGCTTTGAATAGTTCAGGACGTTCCGCCATTGAAATAGCCAGACGTAATGTGCTCCAAATAGTATCCGATAAGGCTGGACTTTGACATTTTGTACTCACAGCTGATGCTTGTTGGTTCAACGCTTCTAACAAATGGTCTATGGCTTCCCTATTATAATATAATATAAAAAAATGTATTTTTAATGTATTTTGAATAGTAATAATGTAAAAAATTAAACCTTCAACACAATAACATATTGTTAAAAGAGCTCATTATTCATAAATAACAAATATTATATGGCTTTATAAAATAAAATAAACAAATAACCTGTATGTATCTAGATGAATACAAGTAATTCCTAGATTATAACGAGCCCTTACAAAACCAGGACACAATTGTAAAGCGTTGTGATATGCTTCTATGGCTTCTTCACATCGACCACCATTAGCCATAGTTGCGCCCAAGCGATTCCACAAACGAGCATCCTGTACAAAATGTAATGTGGTTTAAAAATAATAAAAATAGGTAATAGATTCTTAAAAATATTACTCACTTCAGGTCTAATTTGTAGAGCAACTTTAAAACAATCAACTGCTTTATCGTTCTCATTATTAAGATTAAGCAGTACGCCCAATCCATTTTGGACATCTACATCTATATCTCCTGATTCTAAGCTCCTTTGAGCTGCTTCTATGTACATGTCCTTTACAGATTCATATAATTTTCTAAAAAACATAAAAAAAATTACAATTTAATTACTGTAGACAAATTTGAACTGTTATAGTTTTAAACATTTAATTAAAAATATAAAATTGTTTTTCATTTGTATATATCTCCAAACTAAAAATTTACTTTAATGTTATAAAAATTGATCATACAACAAAAAAATACCTACGTAGTAAACATGAAATCTACTTTCATTGATAAAGGGTGTTCAGGTGTATATTTTGATTTCACAATGTCTGAGTATTTGGGATTTTGATTTAACCATTCCTTAAAACAAATATATTCATATAATGTATTCATTTTTACAAATTAAATAACAATGTTTATTTTAAGTTGTAACTAAAGATAATATTGTTACCATAAGCATACGACAAGCTTGTAAACTGCAACTTTCATTTGTGTAACATGCCGCTAAACAAAGTATAGCAGTCAAATTTTCGGGTTGAAGTTCAAGACATTTTTTTAACGCATTTATAGCTAGCTGATCCTTAAATATATATATGAATAATATTATTATACAAAAGTAACATAGATAATAATATTATGTATGGTTAATGATACTAATAAAAGTAATAATTGCCATATTATATTTAATAAGTAATAACATGATATAATATTATATACAATTAAAATGTAATTAATTACTAACTCACAAACTATAAATTATACTAGAAGTAGAATTTGACAATTCATATAGTTTATTTTATTTTATATAGAAAAATCAGATAATGGCGGAATAAGTTCAAACTTAAATTTCTGTTCATTATAAATCATAATATAAATATATATTACACTAGCCGTATGATGTACCAAATTAATATTGACAGAAACCTCTTTTTAGTTAAAAGGGATAATTTTAAAAAAGTGGATCAGATATCAGAATAAGTGAATAATAGTAAAGTTATATAGTTAGATTATAATAGTTCATGCTTGTTTTTTAAAATTTATTAGCATTTATATTTATGCTATAATTGGTTTATACGATATATTTTAAATATTCATTTACTTGTTCATTTTCAGCTTGAGTAGTACCTAAAAGTTGCCAAGCTTCTACATTGGTAGGGTCGTGTTTAACAGCAGCTTCAAAGCACAAAACAGCTGATGGTAATTCACCATTTTCTAAACGCCTTTTTCCCTCAGTCAGTGGATTTTCTATAGAGTCCATCTCATTGTCTGGTGTAAAAGTATATTCCTATACAATAAATAAACATAAATCTTTATATAACTTTCAAAGATTAACAATAAAATATTTGAATTAAGATTTAAAAATATATAATCACTTGTTTTCTTTCGGAGTTCTTAATTTCCTCAAATTCAGAATACAACGTTTGGAAGTTGGCCTGATCATTTCTAATTTCGATATTACTTTCACTTTCGTTAGTTTCGACCAGTCGATCAGCCAAACTCGAAGATCCCCCTGCAACCATAGTTGGTTCGTCTATTCTTGATGTACTAGGTATCATTGTATTTGATAAATTATTAATATCCCATCGCTGGCTAAATTCTCTAAACTGCTGAAACTGTTGATTGGCAAGTAACGGGTTTCCATACAACTCAATTCCAAAATTATTGATTGGCATACCAATACTATTTTCAATGGGCATTTTATTTTGTGATTCCTGAAATTAATAATATGCATACGCAGTGAACAACATTATAATATGTTAAACAACAGTTCATAATTTTAAAAGTTTTTTATATTGAGTTATCCATGTGTCATATTTTATAGATCGACAACCAAAGTATAATATCCATTAAAAAATAAGAACTTTTTGAAAAAATCCAGAAAATTATGGGTTTAAAATACAATTTTAATTAAATTCATTTTAATTCTATCTTCTATGCAACACAGCCACACACGTGAATTAAAATATATACAAGCATTAAAGAATGCACAATTTATGAAAATGACTAGAATGGAGAATTTGAAATTAGTTTTAAAATGTTAAACAAATACTTTTTTTACATTTCATTTATATTTTATATTTTATTAAGAGTCAAGATATACGTTTGCAATATAAAGGGTGAACATAGGCAATTTTTATAACTAACAAAAATCTAAATTTTAAATACAAATATTGAAATACTTATTAAAACTTAAAAGTTAAAAGTTAGGTACTTCAAGTGGTCAGTATACAAAAGTTAGTACCATTGATTGTTCAATTGTTGGTAGGTACGTAATTATGAAATTATATGGAGAGACAGTTTTTCCCGGTAAAGAACCGAGAAGGCTTCAGTTTTAGATAAGAAACTAAATTTGTTTTATATCACATAATATACGCATATTCAAGTTTGAACATATAAAACAACCAAATTTAAGATAATAACTTTTTTAATATTGGATATCGAAAATATAACATTGGTATATTGCACAGTCGAAGTTCATTAATTCTTATTACGATAAAAATTTGCTTTTTAACTAGGACTAGGTAGGTACCTACAGCCCAAGTGATCATGTAACTTATAGGGTCCAAGTGTTGCTACTTGCTAAGGACGCTCAGGTAACACTTTAAATATGAATGGGTGGTTATTGATAGAAGGAAAATTGTACATTTTAAGGTATATTGTATTTGTATAGGTGAAGTCACAGATTTCTATATATTAGTGTAGTATAGAAGTCTGTGGGTGAAGTATACCAATATTATGAATGATAAGTTATCTACAATTATTTGTGCCATATTTTTTAATGCACGCCACTTTAAGTAATACCGGAAAAAAGAACACACAAAAAAGAACAATAGAAAAAAAGAAAACGGAAAAACAGAATTTAAAAAAAAAATATATATATATATATATATTAAGGGATATCAAATATCAATTAGTCCCTGTGGAAAATACTATGAAAATACATTTTTGTATTTCCAATAATATGGTTTATTGAGTGGTTTGAGAGTAAAAACACCTATTATCTAAGAAAGAGAAGAGAAGCCTATCTGTGTCTGTATAAAAATAAATGTTCGATATATTAATTACTTAAGTCAATAATTAAAATTCAAAAAGTAAAATATCACAAGGTTTAGAGGTACATTATAGCTATATTGTAGGTTAGGTTTTGTAGGACATTGAAAATAAAATATCAAAAATCGACTCATACATAAATTGTTTTTATTATTTGAATGTATGTCAAATTTTATATTAAATATTTTGTAAAGGAATGAGAACGAAGCATTTATATTGTGAATGTATAGACTATAGACAATTTTACTTATTAGCTTTTTTGTAGGTTTGAAGTGTTAGAGGTGATTTATGGGTAATAATAATTTGATATTAATATTTTTTTTTTTGTGATAATCAATTAATAGGTAATTTTAAATTCTTAAAAATTGTTCTTTTTTACCGATTATATCCACTTTACGTGATTAATGCCCACACAAAATGGTTTTAAACAAATAATTTATGAACGTGCTCATTAAGTCTTAATCTTAAAAAATTACCAAAAAATTATCACTTGAAACGGTGTCATCCAAGATGATTATATTTTCTTTAATCTTTTCAAAATCAAAACGAGATTTCAATTCATTAATCCTGAAATTATAAGGTAAGTAATCAACAAAAAATTTTAATTTGGTAATTATAATGAAAAGCTTACTCCTGGTTTTGATAAGATTGCTCTATTTCTTTTACCCATTCAGAATTATAACCGAAATCATCAACTTCATCTTTCATAAGCATTTTATTGTCTCTAGAACTCCAAATGTTTGGATCGAACAGCTGGTCCTAAAATATAACAACAATTTAGGAAAAACAATCAACTACAATTAAAATACATATAAATATATTATATATTGCAATATACATTAAAAGTAAGGAAGTATAAACATCCATGACGAGCCATTCGTACGTAATAATTAATGTCGATTATTCATAGTGTAATAATAATAAATAATAATAAAATAGATAAATTAAAAATTGTGTTCTTATGGGCACCTAATTTTAAATTAATTGACACTAATTTCATTGATTTATCGTATTTTAATTTTTAATAATAGTTAGTACAATTCATAATATAAGCTACACTATATTTATCGCACTATAAAAAAATAGTATACATATTATATAAGCGGCTAGTAAATGCTCAATTTTAATAGTTTGGTAATAATTATATAGTTCAAACTGCATAACTCGAAAAAAATTAAATGTATTATTTTTCAACGTAGGAAAATAATACTAGTTAAAATAAATATTACATCTCATTATAAGATTGATACCTGTTCTTCAATTTTTTTTGTAAATTGAGTGGGCCAGGCATTTTCACGACTACAACCTTCGATGCCTCTCATGTCAGTTAAAAGGTCATCCATTTTGAAAGTATCATTTTCCACGGAACTAAAAAATTGATCGGCCAACTAAAAACATACAATGTAATAAAATACTAAAATAGTCTTAGGTTTACTAAAAATATTGTAATTACCTCTCCTGTGCTTGATTCTAAAAAACGTTGATCGCCGAGTTCTGCTGTTTGAGTTGATTGTTTAAGGTCTTGATCCTTAAATGCGTGGTCTTGCGCGTAATGCGTGGATAATTTAACTAAAGGATTGGAACCACCACAATCACTTTCAACTAAATCACGTATCGACATTTTGAACTGAAAAAATACATAATATGCACTGAAAAATAACGTTTGACATTGTCATTACAATTACGAATTAAATACAATGGGTGATAATTATACTATGTCCAGCGAGAGAACACGCCGATTCTGTGCATCTCCACACGACACCCTGCCATCGAGAGCAGTTACTCCATCGACCATCACCAAAGCTGGGCAAGTTGGTCATTTTTTTCAACTAGTTGAAGTTAAGTTACTTTAATAAATAAACTAAATAAATAAGAATATAAGTTAATTTCTGAAACTGTCCAAATTTCTAACTTAGTTAGAAGATAGTTTGGTGAAAATAGTAAGACTAGTTAGAGTAGAAGTTAGAAGTTAGTTTTTCTTTATAAATTAAAAAACCTTTTTGTTGAAATGTAAATAATAAGTTATCTAACTTAAATTATTGATTAAAACTGAAAAATTGAATTAAACACCTAGTAATTTGATCAAAATGTTCTAATTAGATAAGTAATAATTTCAATTAATTGGTATATCACTTATCACTGATAAGTTATAAATACTAATAATTAATAATATATATGAGCCAATAATCTATACAGGTATATACTATATAGCCATAATGTCGTTATTGAGGAACAGCTTTTGGAATTTTGGAATGAAAAAAATAATAATAATAATAACTAGGTAGGTAGTTAGTTTTTTTCCTAACGAGTTAGATTAGACTAATTTACACATTAAATTCAACTAGTTAAGTTACAAAGATAATATGAATTAAAAATAACTAATTAAGTTAGAAAGTTACTTAACTTTAACTTTCTAACTAGTTAGTGCCCAGCTTTGTCCATCACCATAGTACTATATGGTAAGGTGTTGCATGGGGATGCGCAAAAAACAGTTTTCGCTAGGCAGCGGCATGTTGGCTTGCTTAACACCGGATAGAGAGCGTGGATACTTTTATATTTTTTTTTTATTCAATAAACTTTGAAACAATCTTTTTTACTAAAATACTATATTGTAATAGTGTATAACTATACAAATTTAACTTTAATATTATTGGCATAAACGTTAGAATCGCAAAAAATGTACACTATATGTAGCTGTATTTCGGAATAAAAATCCCTGGGAAAAAAAATCCCCAGACCACAATTATATATATTACTCACAACCCCATGCAAACAATTATTTTCTAAACGTTAAATAGTATCTATAATTATTAAATTACTATTATTTAATTGCAAATACGTACATTATATTGTATGGTATATACTACTACATTATATCATTCAAAAATTAAAAATATATAATACTAAATATAATTTTCGAAAAATTAACATCGTAATTTAAAACAAAATATAATTCTTTTGAATGATATAATATAGTATAAATATAATATAATATACTTATTTGTAATTAAATATTAATAATGTGGTAATAGATACTATTATAGATACTAATTAACGTTTAAAAAATATTTGTTCAACATTTGCATGTGATTGTGAGTAATATTGTAGTCTGGGGATTTTTTTTCTGGGGTCGTTCGTCAGTGCCTCGGGGGATTCTTTTTCCTGGGATTTTTATTCCAATTACCATGCAGCTATACAGGTGTCAATTTGTATCTCCATAGACGTAATTTTAAGATAGTTTTATGTCAAATATCAGTGTTATTTCAGTAAGGAATTATCCGAAGTTTTAACAAAATACTTAAATACTGTTACATACATAAAACGCAACTACGTAATACCGCTATGAATTAAGGAAATTTGTTCATGATACCGGTTCAAAATTTATTAAATACCGGTATAAATTTTAATAATTTAGTAATATACTCAGCTGACCAGTTATACAAGAATATGGATGTATTATGCTCGATAAATTCACAATTTTAGAGGGTTATATTTTCGTACATTATTATGCATATAAATGCATAATTTGCATTAATAGCTCGACGGATAATATTGAATTAATACTTCCAGGTACCTGAATATAATTTTATTCAATTTGACTTATAATTAATATCAGTATAATAAACTGTTTAACTGTAAGCTATTGCTGTATTTGAAAAGTTTGTATAGTAAATATCGTTGAAATTCAATTAATTAAAATAACGATTACATTTCAATAACAAATTTCTATTAAGTACTTTATTTACTGTTTTCACGAAAATGTGTAAAATTTACTTTTGTTTGTATGGCTGAACGGCTGATTACTAATTAGTGATATTGATATCAACATTTAAATATGAAATAAATGAAAATTAATTCCCAAGCAAAGCGATAGGTTTTTTAATAGGTACATGAAACTAGGACCTATGACGCCGACACAAAACAGTCCTAATAGCCAATGGATTCAACCACTACAACCCCTCCACCAAAACAAAAATGTTTTTAATTTTTACACATGCGTGGAGTACCCAACCTTTCAAGTGGTTTATACCATTATGTAAAAGACTAATATAATACATCTACAGAATAATTAATATAATAACATTTTAATTTAATTTATTCTGTGATTCGTCCATGTTCATTTCTTGTTCATGTTTCCAGTATATTGTATGCAATGTCATGTTCATAGTCCATGACCCATGTTATTACTTATTATCACTATTGTTCAATTGTTATACTGTCGTCTATCATGGTTTCTCCAAAATTCTATAACAAACATATTCATTACAATGAACGATTTTGACAATTGACGATGGTCGATGAACACTGACGCGACAGAGTGAACCGATAACATTTTGATGCCTTGGTGGAAATTGAATAGGTGCCTAATAAATTGTATAGTCACGGTGATTAAAATGACTATTCTATATTACCTACTTATTTATACTTTAGTACAATATGTCTGATACCGTTCCGGGATTGGTAATCAGTATATTCAGTGTTCGACATTCTCGAATTTGCAGTGTGACGATGAGTCAGAGCGTGTAAGGAAAAAAACTAAAATAAGTTATAAAAAGGGGGAAAGTAACTAACCACCAGGGTTGGGCAATATACTCAAAAAGCAGTATCGCGATAAGCCGATACTAGATAATTGGCTTTGGAGTATCTCGATATTAGATACTCGATACATATAGGTACTTGATATATTCTAGTAAAAATAGTCAGAGGTTTCTTAAAAATTATATTTATTATTGTGGGGATGGCCACTTCGTTAAGTTATGGCAACAGCAAAAGAAATAATAAAAAAAATTATACTATTCAGTATAATACCTTTATTACAAGGAGAACCATATCTATATGAGAGTCGAGCATGTCCTTACCGACGGCCGACTGAATATAATAAAACAAAATAGACACGCGAAAGGTACAAATAATTTAATAATAGATAGGTATCTAATAAAGTTCAGACGTATAGTAAAGTCCCATTCAACGTGAGTAACTATATTATGATTTATCGGTAATGGGTTGAAAAATAATTTCCAACAACCTACGGCCTATAGAAAATCTATAAATTAATAATAAATATTAATTTTTATAGTAAAAAGTAGAACTGTATTGAATTAATGTATCTAGTATCTTTCGATACTCTTGTACCTATATTTAAAATATTGACTAAAAATGTATCGCGATACAACGATATAGGTAACCTATAGATACTTCATATTATAATTGTATCAAGAATCAAGACACAAGATACAATATACAATATTGTATCTAAAATACTGCCTAACTATGGGCGCAGGGTTTTCCAATTTTCATATGGGGTGCCAAAAATCCTAAAATGATTTAACTTATAAGCAAAATAAAAAACCGGGTAATAGAGGATGTCGCTCTGCTGTACAGTAGGTTACCAGTGAGTCACTTTAATGGATGGTATTAAATTTGAATTCAATGATATAATATCATTGAAAACGTAAAACGATTCTGAGCGAAGACGGTTTGTCAGTCTTTATCCTATAATATAAGATATTTTATAATTTATATTATATTTATATTATTGTTATTACTTACTATACATTGTAAATTACTCATATTATAAAATTACAAAAAGAATAACTAAAATCGTTATTCTTGGTTGTTTACTATGTAATTTCGTCCAAATTTGAACTTAAAAAAACTATGTTCAAGTATATTTTTAGATTATTTGGTTACAAAATTAACTACTTACGTGGAACCTTGTCTTAAATTTGCAATAGTAGCTATAAAAGTTGAACATTTTAAAAATCTTTAACTACAAAATCATTTTTTAATTTTAAATTTGATAAAATTCGAACTTTAAAAGCTTATAAAAAAATTGTGCCAATGTATTTTTAATAATTTCAATTGATATTGATGTAAAAATATAGCAAGCAGCAGCCTTGTATTAAAGTTTCATGCTTTTTGACCCAACAAATAAAATTTTATTTTAGAAAATAAACTAGACATTTTTTTTTTATTTTAGAAAATTTACAATCTGTACTAACAAAACACAATGAGTAAATGTGATATATGTACAACAAGACAATATAATATAATAACAGAATGGCAGGATAAGGGAGGCCATCCAATGATAGAACCCTTCAGATTTAAATTAAACATAATTTATTGATTTTTTTTATTATTTTATTTTAATCATAAAAGATCACGATACCAGCGTACTAAAGAAATTTAAAATGTCTGTTAACAAAACAAAGCGAGAAAAAATTTTTGGAATATTTATCAAATATAGTTAATGATATTTATATAATAAATAACAAGAAAACCTAAGACATGTATTAGTTAAAAATGACAATTCTACACAATATTAACGTATTGAATATTTTTATTTGTTTCATAGGGATAGGGATGAGGATTGAACCACCTCAGCACCCTAACAGTCGGCCCCCATGTGCCAACCCTGGTAAGCGCTATAGCTATGCACTGTGCTGTACAGTAGTCAGTAGGTGTAGGGCGTACCTCGTCATTGTAGACTGCAGAAAAGTAAGACTTGTAATAAATGTGTTAAATTTGAATTAAATGACAAATCATTGCATACAGCCATATATAGGAATAAAAAATGATTCAGAACAAAGATGGTCTTTTGGCCGAAAATTATATTATGGA